CCTGTAGATGAGTGTAAACTGCAGAGTCCTGGCCTGATGATGTTGCTCGTCTGTGCTGGCTCATTCTTTTGAACAGAGTACATCTTTTCATGATTATRCATAGGATCTAATGCTACAAACACCTCCTCTTCTAGAAGAAAAAACAAAGAATCCTTTCACAAGCAAACAAGGTGATACACGTTTTCTTCATGAGCCTCCTCCCATTTCCTGGTCAGCTGACTGGCTCCTCACCACTTGCAATGGTTATGTAACCCATATGTAGTCAGATGACTTTTATTTTGTGGGTCTACTTCCTGTGTTGCTCCCAAACTCTCCAATTTCCTTCAAAAGCCTGGACCTCAGTTCACTTCCTGGTATTTCTCCACTGTGCCTGTGGTGACTTGGGAACCTGTGTCATAAAGACAATGGAAATTGATCCCTTTAATCTTCACCTCACCAGTACTTCTTKTGCCCACTAAACCTTTTGGTAATGGAAAATGTGAGGATGAGTGCTTGGTGTGGGGACATTCATTGGTTGCAGCTCCCACTTGTCCCTCAGTAAGAACTGCTTCTAGTTTAATGGCTTCCTGCTTTCCCAGGATTTCTGTTTGTGTTTAAGCTGGAGGCGTTTTTCTTCAACTAGGCAAGGGTTTGGTTGACTGGAACAGTTTGGAGCAATGTGGCCATCCTGTCCACATTTAAAACAGAACCATGGCTTTGGCCWATTGCCTATTTTGGCCAGGTCTTTCTGTTTCTGTTTTCTCAACTGAGTTTCTGGTTTAACAGGTTTAGAGTCCTTGGACAGCAGGGCTGACATCTGACTCTGCAACTTCAGCATTTGCCTCCTCAAATCTTCAATAGCTCCTGAGTCTGAAAGATGACCACATGAGCATGCACTTGTAGTGTGAGTTTGCAAATTAACACGGTGCTTGACTGRTGGAATATGTTTTTTCATCAACGTCTCTTTTGCCAATTGTCTGTCTTCTTCTGTTCTAAGTGTAAATAAAAGCTCTGAAAATGGAGGTGGTTGGTCTTTTTTCTTTTCTAGCTGCAGTTCATTTATCATGCCRTTATCCCAGCAACCTCTACAAAATTGTTTCAGCAGATATTTGTCCAGTTCAACTGCTGGAATCCCACCACACTTCACCACTGTACTGACAGCCAACTGGAGCCTCTGCAGGTATGAAGATGGTTGTTCCCCATGGTCCGAAAGTGTATTTAAAAAGTCTAACAGAACGCAGGCTTGATCTTTCTTTTAACCATATTAACACGCTACAAAAGCTAATACATTTATATTCTAAACACATAAACATTTATTATTCACAATGTTCTTTTCCACTCTCAACATATTTTGACTTCATTTTAATAGATACTATTAATTATTATTTGGTATTCATTACTTTTTGAGAAATAAAAAGGCATCTAACAGCCTTAAGCAATCAAACTGAAATGGTCATAAATTTTGTCAATATTTTTGGTYTGTTTAAATACTTATAACAACTTTTTTAGTTTCATTTGTGATGCCAATTTTTCTTCTGTCTCCTGGACTATATGACACAGTGCACCTTTACTCAATGTGAGTATGATGATTTTTTTTGGACATGATACCTAACAAACAAATGAAGATAAATGATATTTCACATCACTGAGGCTTAAATGTATAGTTTMTTTTATTTCACAACAAATTTTTGTGGAAACCTTGGACTGTCATGAGTAGTTGCCTCAGCAGGAATTCTCACAGGAGTTACACACTGCCCAACCAAAATACAGTATCCACCTGGATTTAAGGTCTATGATGTGGTGTTGCTGCAGTTGATCAATAGGAGCTCAAAAAACAAGGCCAGCTGACTGAATATACTGAATGACCAGGTTATTCCAAGTGGTCAGACTCTACCATCATCAATGCTACACTGGATGGAAATAAATCTTGTAACATTGCAGAAGCTTATCCAAACAATGCCACAGTGAATGTGTGCTGTAATCAAAGCTAAAGGTGGTCCAATGAAATATTACTGTGACCTTTTTCTTTGGTGGCGACTTTTTATTTTTTTATTTTTTGGCCAGGCAGTGTAGGTTGAAGTGTATGGCGACTATGTATACATTAATAATGTCTCACCGTCCCTAAGCTTCTGTTTCAATCAAAGTTTAATGATTTGTAAGAATGCCATATG